TGCGTCTAAGGAAAACGCCACGTTCAGTCGGACATCGCGATCGATCTGCGCGAATGACGACAACGACGACAACAACGGAATATTACGTTTCACAGTAATAGCAGTTTCGACGCCCACGATTAACGAGCGGTGCCGATGATAACGCCACGCCTACGTTCCCCGGTAACGTCACGTATCCGTTTTACGAGGCCATTTTCGGTTCGCGCGGCAACGTCCGAAATCTCGTCAACGGCGTCCCCGATGCCTCGATGCGGAGCGAAACTGCCGCGATTCCCGCCGGTGAAAAATGACACTGTAATCCGCGAGCATTGTCCACGTCGTTGGCATCGGTCGTTCGTTAAATCTTCCGTCTTATTCCCGCGGTGCTTATGTACGACCACGCTCGAGGAAACGCGCGGATGTGTGAATTTGGCGATAAATAACGCGAACGCCCGGCTAGTTTCGCTCGCGTGCGGTACGACTTTGTCGTATCCTGTCGACCAAATTCTCTCTCTCTCTCTCTCTCTCTCTCTCTTTCTCTCCACTGAGACTGCGGGCGCGAACGTTCGTTCGAATTTCACAGTCGTAAAAACGCGGAGAGGTAGATTGTTCTCCCGCGAGATCGATATTCGACCCACATCGCGCGCCGCGGGTTTACGAGGTTGCGCGAACACGACCGATTTACGCGGATTGGCTCGCGAGATTTCTTACCTGGCCGTGCTTGTCCATGTCGTTGTTCGTCAGCTTGACCTTTTCGAACGAGACCACTTGCTTTCGTAGCTGATCGCCGGTAAACGGCGAGTCCGGGTGAACGTAGAGCCGCGCCGGCGCCGGAGGATCCGCTTTCCCCGCGACCAGCCAACAGCTCCGATGGTACGCGTACCGATATCGCTTATTGTCCACCGGAACGATGTCCATCAACACCGCGTACCTGCCCTCCGATTTTAATCCGTTGAACGAGACGCGACACGTCGGGAACATTCGTCTGGAAAAAAAGCGAGAGTATTATACATACGTACAGGCTGGATCGTGCAACGTAGCAAGTGAAACGGATCACATCGTTTCGATTGATCCATCGAGACATTCAAGATGGGCGGTAGATCGCTAGATCGCAGATGTTCATGCAATTTTATATCTTTATGAAGATGATTGAAAAAATGGAACCAAGGTGATAAAAGATTTTACCCACTGGATATTATAAAAGATATTGTATTTTAAAGATTTCGTATTATGTATTTGTTACGTTATTCTCATTAGATTATATTATATATTTATTACGTACGAGGATTATATATTTTTCCAAGTTATTTGCGTTCTGTGCATTCTTCGAATAGATATTTCATAAACGCAGTCCAGTAATCACAGTTTCCAAGAACTTTTTCTATGATCTAGAATTTATAATAACGATATTGATAGTGAAACTATAATGATATGTTATGGACAACGTAGAGAGGAAAAAAATTTCTTGTAAGGCTGTGAGGTTGAGTCTCGAATGTGTTAATATTTAAATAACGCGATATTTTATTGATAATTTTTCCTCAACCGATTTATACTACACGCTTAATCAACTATTAGATTTTTTTCTCTACTTTTTTTTACATTTCACACGAATAACATGCTGGAACTATGTCAAACTGGTTATTTATTGCAACTAGTAATTTAGTCTAGTAATTTATTATTAATTTAAGTAGTGTAGTATTTAAATTATAATAATTAGAAATTAATGTGATTTAATATAATTTAATGTTAATTAAGTAACGTTGAATTATTATTAATTTTAGTAAATTATTATAATTTGATATTTAGACTAGGTAAATTAATGTCAATTTTCTCTATCCCATATATTTAAATAATTGTAAGCTCACTGTTGCTTGTAATTTTTATTCCGTACGAGCCAAGTTAAATTAAAATTGTCGAATGTATTGTTTTAGCAATAAAAGAGAATTCGAAAAACTCGTGCAACATATTTTTGGATTGGATTTTATAATTTTAGAAAATTTAAAGAATTCGTAAAGTACGAATTCGAATTTAAAGAATTTCGTAAAGTACGAATTCGAATTTAAAGAATTTATAACGTTGTTTGACGCGATGTAACATTCAGAAATAGAAACATGACCGCACGTACCTACATGTTTTACAAACATTCATATATTACTATTGACATCCATGTGTGTATTTATACTTGTAAAATACACGTATACTATTCTTACTTGCATGAATATATACGCACGTAGATGTTTTCCAAGCATACATTACAAATATATACATATATCGCAAGGGACATTGCACTGAAGTTATCGGTCCTTCTCTTGTCTTAACGAACCGATTAATTAAAATTCGACGTTTAACCTCGGCGAAATGGGAAACCACTGCTGAACGCGACGATCAAACCCGATTGGTCGGTAAAACGACTTGAAAAAAAAAAAAGAAAGAAACAAAGAAAAACGGGTGAAAATGCGTGCAACGGGGAAACCACGCCGGAGCGTTTACGCGACGAGCGCATCGCGTTTCTGAAAGCATAGTCAGGCGAAAGAGCGACGCGTCCCTGGAGGTTCCTGGCACGACCGATTCGTTGGCAAGCGTGTGGTGAGTTCTCGAGTTTGAAAGCAACGCGGAGGCGCGTCTAACTAGTCGGTTTGATTGAAAGGAGCGCCCGCAGGCCTTTCAAGCTTCGTTACGAGCGAGTCACCCTTGAACCTCGTTATATGCAGTCAACTTTTCAACACCTCCAGCGTCGAGGCGCACGCGTCCGACAGATGCGCGTGTTCGTTGACGTCGCCACGATCGGCGCCCAAATACACCGACCGTTCTAAACCCTTCCTGAAGTTCCCCTTCTCTTCCAAGAACAAGCCAACGAACAAGCCAACGCCTCTCACACGAGTTTCACACTGAGTTTTGCATCCTCGCGCGAAAGGAGGATGACTTCGCCCAGGCATGCCGATCGATTCGTCGAATGCCCGGGACCGTGCAATCCGCGGAACAGAGTATGTCGACGAACCTGCGTTCAGAACGTCATGTCGATCTTAGAGGAGTTACCTCCGTGTATTCGAGCGAGGATCTGCCAGGAAGACCTGCTCGCTGTGCTCTTGAAGGACCAAGAGATCGAGCAGGAGCCAGCTAATTCGCCCGGAAATCCGTCGATGGAACCGACGCACAGACCGAAGAAAGAATTGTCATCGACGACGACGACGACGAGTCGTTACAAACCGGACGACGGGAAACACGAGACAGCACGAGACAAAGACACGGATGATCTCTGTCCAAGTGGACAGATGAAAGGGGAAGGAACGCAGACGATGGAAGAGAAACAGGTGCAAACTACGGAACAGATTGTTCGCGAGGTAACGTCGAGATACAGATCGGTGTCCGCGGGAACAAGAGGTCTTCGTCAACGGACCGAGGACGCGTCGGTCCTGATTCGCAGTATTGCGAATACTGGAATACGCGGAATACGTACGCTCGGATCAACGAGAATGCCGTCGTGTTCTTGCAGTCTGATCAACACGGCAGTCTACATCGGCTTGCTCCTTCTGCTGGCGATATTCGCCAGGCACAGTTCGACTTATCAAATTTTTCTGTCCAGTCAAATCTGCGGAATCCTCGCTATACTCAGCTGGAGATTATCCGGCAGAGTTCCGTTGTAATATTTACTATATTTACTTTCACTGACAACGTTTGCTTTTTATTTATCCAACGCGTTGTTATTCCGCGTTCTTGTCTTTCTCGCTATTTTCTATTGTCGCGTCGAGTCGCGAAATAAACACTAGGTCCGCTAGAGAGAAAGACGAAACTATGCCTGTGACTGTTTTTAGTAGACTTTAGAATTCAGGCAATCAACTACAGTTTTGAAAATATATTTCCTAGCAGTTTTCTAGACTACCAACACTATTGAGAATCTCCCTCGTTTTTATTTTTCGACGAAAAATTGATTTATTTGAGCACTAACTCGGTCTTCGTGCAGAACTGTTTAATTATTCTGCGTTGGTATTGAAATTGTTGAAGCTACACATGCATTTGGTAATTATTTTCGACGACGTATGTCGATAATGTACGTCGTTGTGGCAATAATACATAAAAATAATAAGATAGTTTAGAAATATTTCGTCATACGCGATTAAAGGGTTAATCGAAAACTATTTCACAAACGAAAGACTTCTAGAACTAACCAGCACATGTCGTTTCTCGTTAAAAAATACCCTTTTATCATCAAAATCTTCAACTGATAGTGAGGAGTTCATCATAATATTATCACAATATAGTTGTCGCAAAATTATTAACTGAACTGTTTCATTTATTCAATAAAAATATATATTTATACGACACAAGTCATTTCTAATAGAATGCTTGCACTGATTGGCTTCCAAGTCCTTCGAATAATGCGTTGTGGACGTAATAATTATTCTGGTGCAAAAATTCATCCATCCAGTTTTTCGGCTACATTTGAAGACGCATTCAATCGAGCAAGGAGATCGAATTGAGTTTTGCAACGTTCTCATTAATCAAGATATCATCTAAATACACGTAACTGTTTCCTTTCATTCCTGGTTCTTGGGATACGAAGTTTCTTCTCTGTGCACGCACCGTTTGCGACGAGGTAAATGTTGCAACAAACGAGACAAATCCTCCGAAAGTCGTCGGCTGAACTTTAACGACGATCACGTTGAAAGCCACGACAAATCGTGCGCGTTCATTGAAAGGCGGTGCGATCGGTTCGAGCCCTCGGTGACCGCAAACGCCGCAATCGCCTGAAAATCATCAACCGCAAAAGATCGCTTTACGGATGAACAAGCTTTCTCTACCTCTGAGGCACCTCTCGATGTCTGTCGCACTCTCTTTGAAAACGATCATGATAACGATGATGGAACGTCGCGCGAAATTCTCCCATCCGTGGCCCAAAAAGTAGATCTCGTTAGGTGCCTTTTGAATAGGTTGTCTCGCGCTTCACAAAAATTGGAAAATATGGAGCACGCGACGACGATGTTTAAACTGCATTTACGGCAGATTTTCGATTGAACGGCTGAGTTGAATAGTTTTCAAGTCGTTCAATTAAAAGGCTCACGCTATCATTTGACATCTCGTTGTTTGAGTATGATTAATACATTATACAGGAGATTTTTTTCATAGCAATTCGCTGCGTCAGCTGGAAGAGAGTAATTGTTCGAAAAATAGGAAAAAGAAGACTTAGATTTTTTAGAGTGCGATCATTACGACTGCAAATTTAAATTTAATTTGTGCATTATCGCCTCGATCGCTGGATCTTTTAGATCAGAATCTTTGTAATATCATCGCAAATTTATATAAATTGATACAAATCGATAAATTTATTGATTTTTGTTAATTTTGCCATCACCATTGATTCCCGATATAGTTGCTCGATAAATAACTTACCAATATTTACACGACCGTTTTATAGAAATCAATAAAAATCAATAAATTATATTCAAGAAAATCAGTAAAATTTGTCGATTTGTACCAACTACATGAACATTACAATGGGACATTATTATAAGTGAAAACTTGCAAAAATTCTAATCTGATCTGATTGTTGTTGATGATGCTTCAATTCAATGCTCTTTTAATAAATAAATGTAACCTCTCTTTATGCGCTTGCCACGATTGAAAGACAAAATATCAAATGACAAGGTGACAACATCGGCACACACTTATAAACGTATAAATATAAGAATAATTTAAAAAACAAATATATTTTTCGGGATGATATCGACTCAGTCGCCCGACCAAAACTTGTCCAATGTGAACGCATTACCAGAAAAACAAACGACCGTGCGATTACTGTTTCGCCACCCTCGATCGTTCAGAATCACCCCTCTCTCGAAACGAATTTCCAGCGTACAACGATTCTGTTGTAATATATCATCGAGAAAATTAACCGCCCCGAAGGGTAGTTCCTCCTGTGTTCAACGATGGAATATATATCGAATCGCCTATTAAGTATCGATAGTAAGTCAATCTAGCTTCCCCCGGATCCTTCGCCCTCATCCCTGTTTCTCGTCGCGCTCTTACACCCCGCGCGTGAACACGATCGGCCTTATCTTTATAGAGAATCACGGCGCGCGAGTCGTTGATTTGTTGCTTACTGAAACGCTCTCGCTTCGCGTGCAAATCTCTTAAATTACGCTCGCGAAGCAACGTGTCGCTGTTTTTTTTTTTTTTTTT